GCTCGATTGGCCGTGGCCATTACCAGTCCTGTGCAACCTGACCTGACCTGACCTGACCTACTGTCCTGTGCAAACTGAACTGAACTGACCCGAACTGAATTTTCGCTGGCAGGGCTGATCTCCAGATAGCACTCAATGAGAATTGATTATCCGCAGGTGGTGGACTTGCTCATGGCAGCATCATAATATGTGGAGAATCTTTTTTTCATCCCTTCGTAGGGGATCGAATTCGGTTTCTCATTCAGAATTGTTTCAAGGGAAGGCCTTTTTGGATAAAATATTCAAACCATTACCTGTTACAAGTTATTGGTATTCTGAAAATACATTTTTTTCCGAAAAAGCCCTAAGCTCAAAGTAAGTTGTATGTGAAAAAAGCAATAATTATTAATTAGAAGAACATATATTCCGATTCACAGGCGAACGCTCTTCAGGGAACTACTCCAAGATACGAACGTTGTCCGCTTATCCGATCGAGACAGCTTCGAACAAGTTGCCATTGCTTTGGATGCTAAATTGAAGTCGGCGTTTCGCTTGATTCAACAAGAAGTAAATGTGAGTCATTTGTAATTGCATTCTAGGCGAAGCGTGCAATATTCCTTTGTTAGAATGGCTATGCTCTCATGGGAACAAATGGACTTTTGATTGTTATAAGTGAATTGACATAACAGATTGCAACTATTTCTTTTAAGATACTCATTGACTTCGAATTCAAATAGGGAATAGAAAATTGCTTCCACTATTAGAGATCTTGAGTTAGAGAAACGAATTGCCGCTCCAAAAACAGAGCAGCACACTACCTTGACCATTTTCGGAGGTGCTTTCACTTTTCAGTATACATTGTGACTGTAGTATTGTAGTATTATAGTATTGGGAAGAGTTCGCATTGTTATTGAAACTTGGCAATCACGTTTTCGCAGTCCATATCGGTCTTCATTGGCAAACCGGAGTGGCATTTTTTACGCTCACGTTTCTCCCGCAGAGAAGACTCTGACATGACAGTGGGATCGCAGCGTGTAACACCGTTTACGTCCGCATTACATTTGCTTATCCCAGTCAGTTTTTACCAAGGTCTGCAATCCCTGCGCTGTTCAACAGATTCTCCGTAGGACAAATGCGATCTCGCACCTGGAACAAGAAGTATAAGAGGGCACCAACATGCATAAATGGAGTGAAACAAGAAGGTCACGCAGGTCGATGAAGCAGATTCACTCCGATTCGTCCTAAAGGGTGTTCTCAATCAATTTTACCCCCGGCATTGCTAGGCAAGACGGTCGTCCTCCTAATGATCAAAACCGCTCATTGCGCGTTGTCATAGAGTCGGGCCACTGCACAGCTCCTGCACCAATCTTCAGGCTTTCGTTTGTCCGGGGTGATTTTGTATTCCTTTATCCCGACCGTCTAAACTAACATTGCGTAGTCCAAAAACAAATGCCCAATCCTAATGTCCGCAAACCACACCACGGTTGGTTACGCGGGTTCTACCTGTTTTCCCCGGTTTGGGAGTTTTCATTTTCCTGCCGGGTGCACCCTCCTAATGGCTACATGGTTTGAGTTCTGTCTTCGGAATGTTTCGTTCACTTCACCTGTCCAGCCCCCTCCTGTTTGTGTATCCCTTCTTTCCGCTCTTTGTGATTGTGTAAGCGAATTCCATCGTATCACCCAATTAGGAAAGATCCCTTTCATACAGTGTGGCGAAACTCGGTCATGTTTCATATGAGGGTAAAAAGTGTCCGAGGAAACCTCATTTTCTTCTGAAAATTCCAACGATATTAATCGGAAGTTGATTTGGATCAACTGTGAGAAATAGCTGGCGTTTTCACACTTACTGGCTCCATGGTATTCCGAGTTTCGGACAAAATACTGCAATCTGATCGGTTAATCCCACCCCACTTCAGAGATTACGTTGGCTGGGACATGT